CGTGCCTGGCATGCTGCAGGCACTCCTGCATCCATCCTGGCCCTCACCATGCCTGAGTGTGATTCATGACTGCAACACCCCTCCCCCATTCTTGGGGGACTCCTATTCATCCTTCAGAGCCCCCAGGCTCACTTCCGGTACTGCCTCACACACCACAAAGCACGTTGTTTGGGGACACGGGCACTGTACTCACCCCCATAGCACACTCGGCCTCCTGAATTGTGACCATCTCTCTTCTTGGGGACAAAGGTGAGTCACAGAGCAAGTCACAGGAAGTCCTTGAAAGATCCAGTAACAGATGCCTAAGCAAACACTTCCTTGGCACCCCCTCCTTGGCATTCCCCCCACACCCCACTTCCCACGCCTGTGGCCACCTTTCTTGCCCAAGGAATTCACCACAAACCGCACACTATGGCACACACAAGCAGTGTTCCGAGATAACGTCAGGAGTCTGAGCCCCTGACCCCAGTGGGGGTATTGAGTGCGCGAGACCCCTAGCCCAGAAAATTGACAGTGCCCACCCCAGCGACTAGGTTGGTGTCAGGGATCCTGACCCCAGGGGGCTGCAGAGCCTTCCAGACCCTCGGGCCCCACCCCTGAGCCAGACCCGTGAGAAGTGAGAATGCCGGTATGTGAGAACCTCCCCGGAAGGTCTGGAGAGGGTAACGCCTCCTCTGCAGCTCAGCGAGGAGGAAGGAGGCCCAGTCAGGGATCTGGGCGGAGGTTCAGGTTTCGGTCAGGTCACCCCTGTGCAAGCTGCAGAGGGCAGGTCTGTGGGTCTGAGGAGGACTCTCAGCCTCCTTCCTCAGAACCCCAGCCTCCCCCCTCAGACCAGGGCTCACCCCCAGCATTCCCCCTCAGACCCAGGCACCAGAACCCCAGCCCCCCACCTCAGACCAGAAGTCAGACCCTCAACCTACCCCCTCAGACCCAGGTACCAGAACCCCGGCTTCCCCCCTCAGACTAGGGTCAGACCCCCAACCTCCTTCCTCAATCCAGGGGCCAGATATCCAGCCCCTCCTCCCTCAGACTCAGAGGTTCTCTCAGCTCCTCCTCCCCCAGGCCCTGAGGTGATTTTGGCCACTGAGTTCCACCAAAGGTCTCTCAAGCAAGAACATACCTCATTCTGTTTCATTTTATAAATATTGATTTTTTTTCAGTGGGGTGGGTGGGTGTCACACCAGCAATGCTCAGGGCTCACTTGGCTCTGAGCTCAAAGGCCACCCTGGTGGGTTCAGGGGACTCTATTTGGTGCTGAGGATCAAACCCGGGTCTGCCACGTGCCAGGTAGGTGCCCTCCCCGCTGTCCAATCTCTCGGCCCCTCTATTATTTTTTGAACTCTGTCCTGACAGGACTGAATGGACTGAGCAAGCTTCATGTGTGTTTCTTCTCTTCCCAGGTTCTCAGCTGCAGGAACCCCCACCATGGGCAGCCCCTTCGCCATGTCCCTGGGGTGCTGGACCCCCGCATGATACAGCAGCATCCGGGTACTGTGTTACAGCCAGTGTCCTCAGGCTGCCCTACTCTCTGCAAGGGTCGCACGGAGGAAGAGCCTCGAGGACCATGCTCAGAACACACATTTGTCATGGCTGTGACAGGGACAGAGTGACATGTGGGACCCTCTCTCAGCTCACCCCAGAGGACACAGAGACTGGGACATTCCTTTCTCCTCAAGGTCACCTTGGGCTGCGGAATTGGACTGTCGGGTTACTCCTCCTGGCTCTTGCTACCTTTCTCCTCCAGGAAGCCCACCCAGGCCTCTCAGTGTGGGCCCACCAGTGCCTGGGGTCCATATCCTGGGAGGAGAGACCAGCCTCTCACCAGCTAGACCCTCAGGCCCCAGGTTGATCACTTCAATCACTGCACTGGACTCTCAATCAACTGGTTCTGTTTCTACTGAGGCCCAGAGAGATTATGTGATTCTCCTGGAGTCACACAGCTAGAGAAGGGCCCATGGCATTACAAAGCAGGAGCAATAGCCAAGGAGGCAGGGTCAGTGCTGCATGGTGCCATCTCCACCACAAACCAGCTGTGTGGTCAGAAGTAAGGCACTTACGTTGCCTGTGCCTCAGTTTCCCCATATGTAAAGAAGAGATACTAGGAAAATAGGACAGGCTTGAGAGGGACGCAGTGAAAACAGCAAACATGCATCTGTGATGTGGCAGGATGAAGCTGCGCTAGGAACACCATTCCTGTGCTCTCACCCACACCCACCCCTACTGGTCCCGCCTCCTTTATCCCCAACAACCAATCAGGTCTCAGATATGTTCATGGGCGTGGAGTCACAGTAGCCAGGGAAGTTGTTGTTGTTGTTGTTGTTGTTGTTTCTTTTTTTTTTTTTTTGGCTTTTTGGGTCACACCCGGCGATACAGAGGTGTTACTCCTCCTGGCTCATGTATTCAGGAATTACTTCTGGTGATGCTCGGGGACCATATGGGATGCTGGGAATCGAACCTGTGTTGGCTGCATGCAAGGCAAAAGCCATGCCCCCTGTGCTCTCACTCCAGCCCCAGGGAAGGCACTTGTTTTGCACGCAGCCAACTCCAGTTTTATCCCAGGCACCACATAGGGTCCCCCAAAAACATTGCCAGAAGTGACCATGAGCATAGAGCTAGGAATAAGTCCTGAGTCTGGCTGGTAGTGATCTTAAGAAAAAACAAAATCAAAGATCATTTTTAATTAAAAATTACATTATAGGCTGCATCCTGCTGCCCTTGTGTAGACTGGGAGGGCGGCGATAAGCACAGTCAAATAAGAGAAGAAAGCGGGGCCAGGAGATGCTCAAAGGGCTATAGTGTTGACCCCACACACTCCTCCAGACTCCTCCTGGAGAGAAACACCAAACACCAAGCCTGGGTTAGCCTCCAACACCGCACCTCCGAGTGAGCGTGATGCACCTAACATGGCCCCAGCAAAGATCCTCTATTCTAGCACTGTGTCCATCCTGTGCTTAATGGCCACAGACAGAGCGTACGCGGGAGCCTCTCGGGGACACACACCACACTCACATGTAGCCGCGGGAGGAGGTGGATTGGAGCTGCTAGTGTGGGGACGAAGGCAGGGTGGGTTGATGGCTGCATTTCCAGCAGAACCTTTGTAGCCTCTGCAGAAGGTTGAGGAGGGGACGGAGCACTACAGAAGGAACAGCAGCGCTCAGGCCCGGAGTGGGGGTAGGGGGCCAGGGGCTCAAGGACACCTGCTAGGGGACATCTGGGGCTCAAAGACATCTGGCTGTATCTGTATAATAATAACCATAATATTAATAATATAACCATAATGTATAATATTAACCATAATGCCTAAAATGAGAGAGAGAGAGAGAGAGAGAGAGAGAGAGAGAGAGAGAGAAGAGAAGAGAGCTGCCTGCTATAGAGGCAGGCAGGGATGGGGGATGGGTGGGAGGGAAACTGGGGACACTGTCGCTGGGAACTTACACTAGTGTAGGGATGGGTGTTGGATCACTGTATGACAAACCCAATCATGAACAGCTTTGTAATGCTCTATCTCACCGTGATTCGATAAAAAAAATTTTAAATTTTAAATAAAAAAAATTTTTAAAAGGCAGCTGGTTGTGGGGGCAGAGGGGAGCACAACATGACCCTCAGGTCCTGCCCAGAGAAGGGGAGCAGGGTGAGGGGGCTGCTGTCTTCCTTGCAAGGTCCCTGAGTGGGCCCCTGAGGAAAGAAGTGGGGAGTCAGGGAGAGTCAGGGACTGCTGGGGTCCCCTGGGAACCTGTGTCAGCAGCAGCCCCAGCACCACCCTGTAAACAACAAAACCCGCCTTAGTCCACTTTATTGGTACCTGTTTGTGTGTGTGAACGTGCAAGTGTGAATGTGTGGGTGTGTGAGTATGTTTATTGTGTGTCAGTGCATATTGTGTGTGAGTGTGTTTGTGTGTTTGAATGTGTGTGACAGGTAGTGTGTGTGTGAGTGCATGTGTTTGTGGATGCGTTTCCGTGAGTGTGTTAGCCCGTATTTGCGTAAAGAAGTGGGTACATAGAGTCTGTATGTGAGCATGTCTGTGTATGTGTGTGTATGTATGTGTGTGTGTATAAGTGTGAGTACGTGCGTATGGGTGTGCGCATGAGTGCATGTGTGTCTGAGTATACAAGTGTGTGTGTGAGCATGTGTGGTGCTTGGATCCCCCAGGCTTTTCTGTCCCTTAGCTGCACTCCTGCAGGCCTGCCCTGTCCCTCCAGACTTTCTTCACTCTCTAGGCCTGTCTCCTCACCTATGAGGTGAGGAGACAGGGAGGCCCCAGCACTCACCTTGAGAGAAATGACATTGGTGGGGAGTGGGGCACACGGAAACTCTAGAAAGTTTATCTGCCTGAAAGCCCTGTTACATGGGACCTTCTGAGACTCAGCCTGGCTCAGAGGGTCCTATCTGTCCTGCTAGAGGGGTATGTGCCAGGGAGAGGGCAGGGGTGAGGGAGGGGGAGGGGAAGGGGAGGGAGGAGGAGGGCAGGGGGAAAGCAGGAGAAAGGGAGGGGAAAGGGCAGGAATGAGGGAGAGGGAGGGCAGGGCGACCAAGGGGAGAGCAGGGGAAGGGATAGAGGGAGAGGGAGGAAGGGGAGGAGAGGGGAGAGACATGGGTAGAGGAGGGGAGAATGAGGGCAGGGGCTTGAAAGGAAACTGGAAGGGGAGCACAGAGCAGGCAGCGCAGCCTGCGGGAGACACAGCGAGACAGAGCGCCTAGACGCCTCTGTATGTCCCCGCCTCCTGGGTATGGATGGGGGGACCCATGCTGCACCCTGGGGGGGAGGGGTTGGAGAACTGGGCGGGTGTCTTTAAGGAGGGGACCAGCCCCTGGGCCATGACTGTTCCATGGTGCCTGGCTCTGGCATCCAACCCTCCTCCTCGCTGGGTCTCTGCCAACCCCACCCTGGGCTGCCTGTGCCAGGTGAGCGCTCAGGTATGCAGCAGCCCAGGGAGGCGGCGGGCGGGGCACAGGAGGGAGCCGTGGAGCCGGCCAGGCCGGGCCAGAGCTGCAAGCACAGAGCCACGGAGCAGGTGAGGAGCTGGGGGTTTCCAGCCAAACTCAGAGTCCTGACAGTGTCAAAGACTGGCACCTTAGGAGCTGAGAGCAGAGAGGTAGGTGAACACCTCCCCCCGGAAGCCAGGGCTCTCTGATTCTCAGGGATCTGAAGCCTGAAAGCCCAATTCTCAGGCCCCTGAGAAGGTCAAGCCACGGGGTGCCTGGGCAGAGGAGGAGCTAGGGAGCACAGATTTCAGAGTCGGAAGTATGATTTGGGGGGGTTCAGTGTAGTAAGTCAGAAGGAGGAGGGCTAGGGATCTGTACTCCTGGGCCTGAGGGAGGAGGTCGGGACTAAATTCCTGGGTCTGAGGAAGGAGGATCTGGGGAAGCCCTGGGCTTCAGGGAGGAGGGGCTGAGACAGAGCCTGTCTGAGGGAGGAGCCAGGCGGGGCGCCTGAGTGGTACAGACCGTGTCAGGCCCTTTCCTCTCTCTGTCTGCAAAGGCAGCTGCAGGAGACCCCTCACTACCATGAGCACCCCTGCCGGGTAAGTGCCCGCTCCTCTCCTCCCCTGGTTGTGCCCTTCCCAGACGGCGGCGGGAACTCACACTCTGCTCTCTGACACCACCAGAGAGCCCTGAGAGCTCCGGGAGGGTGGGAGGGTATAGGACTCAAGCAAGGAAGGAGCCGCCTGCGAACTGTGCTCCTCCAGCTCCCAGTCACTTCCCACTAAACAGTGACGCTAAACTGGCCAGCCAGGACCGGCCACAGACCGGCCACAGGCCTGGCCGGAGGGTGGCTGCAAACACCTGCTCTGCCGCGGGGTACCTGGACCCATCCCAGCACACAGGGCCCCAGCTTCTGATCACAGGGTCGGGAGCAGCCCCAGCAGCTCCAAGTGAGGGGAGGGGAGGCCGGGCTGTGGCCAGCAGCAGAGACAGTGTGCAGAGATGCAGGAACCAGAGGGAAGGTGTGTCTGACTGTCTGACAGCCATGGTCTTCACCCTACGCTGGGCACCCACACTCAGGGACCGCAGTGCAGAGGTTTCTGGAGGCCTTGAAGGCAGGACAGTGGCGGAGGGAGAGGGTGGGCTGGAGCACCTGGCAGAGGCCAGGAAGGGGTGAGGATGGGGCTTCTGGGGCCCCTCCCGCGGCCAGTGAAAACCATGAAGCCTTCTACAGATGCACCATCTCAAGCGGTGGGCCCAGCAGTTGCAGGGGGTGAGCCCCAGCTTTCAGAAAGGGAAACTGAGGCAGGAGAGATAAATCGGCTTATGGTCAGGGGACTGCTGGCCAGGGATTTAAATCCAGGTCTGTGTGACAGTGGAGATACCACACCCCCAACTCTTCCACTGTCCAATTACCGCCTGCTGCCAGCCCACCCTGGGGCAGACCCCACCCCTAGAGCCCTGTTAATTTCTTCCTTCCACAGCCCGGAAGCAGCCCCCAAACCCAGTGCCAAGTCCATCTATGGTGAGTTTGCAGAGCAAGGAAACCCCTGCTGAGAAACACTGCATCTGTGGGACTACAGATCTGAGGGAGGAGGCTGGGCTTTGGATTCTGAGTGTAAGGGTGGAGGCTGGAGGTCTGGGCCATTGGGTCTGAGGGAGGAGGCTGGAGTTCTGGGCCACTGGGTCTGACAGAGAAGGCTGAAGGTCTGGGTGCCTGGATCTGAGGGAGGAGGCTGAATATCTGGACCCTTGGGTCTGAGGGATGAGGCTGGAGTTCTGGGCCATTGGGTCTGAGGGAGGAGGCTGGAGGTCTGGACCTCTGTTCTGAGAGAGGGGGCTGTGATATCTGTTCTTCTGGACTGAGAAGAGACTGGGGGACTTCTGGTCCAAGGGAAGAGGCTGGGCAAGTACCCACGTCTGTTGTCCTTCTGCCCACAGAGCAGAGGAAACGTTACTCCACTGTGGTGATGGCTGACGTCTCCCAGTACCTGGTGAATGTGAGTCTGAGTGATCCGGTTTGTGGGCAGACAGGGAAACTCAGAAACTACTGCCCAAAAGCAGCTGTCCTCTAAGCAGAAAGAGCTCAGGATTCAAGGGCTCACATGCCCAGGGGGTTTCCTCTGCTTTCCTTGCATCCAGTGGGGACTCAGGGCTACACGGAGCTGCTCCTTCCTCCGGGTCATCTCCTGTCTGGGCAGCTAGACCAGGCAGTCCTGGACACAGGACTTCAGAATAGCCCAGAGGAATGAGTGAAGGATACCAGGCAGACACCCAGATCCAGGCCTAATCACTCTGAGGAAAAAGCTGTAAAGGGGCCCACTGGTTGCAGAGGGTGATCAGGGCCACCTTCCCTGAGGAGGTGTCTCCAGCAGTGGGTCCTGAAACTGACTCTGCCGTCTCTTCGACCTGGCAGCACCTGGTGACATTCTGCCTGGGGGAGGAGGATGGCGTGCACACAGTGGAAGACGCCTCCCGGAAGCTAGCCGTTATGGACAGCCAGGGCCGTGTGTGGGCCCAGGAGATGCTGCTGCGAGTGTCTCCGGACCATGTCACGCTGCTTGATCCGGTCTCCAAGGTACCGGGTCACTGGGGTGGAAGAGCAGACTAAGGTCTGGAGGCTCGTCAGGAAGGGCAGAATCCAACAGTGGATCTTGGTTCTTGTGCGCGCTTTTTCTGGGAAGTTTGACCAGGGATCCGCGCCCATTTGGAAACTCCGCCAATATCCAGCAGAGTGGGGCTGCGCAGTGCCCGTACCTACCTGTTGTCTATGCGGTGCCAACTTCACGCGCCGTCTCTTCTGCAGGAAGAGCTGGAATCCTACCCGCTGGGAGCCATCGTGCGCTGCGACGCGGTGATGCCGTCCTGCCGGAGCCGCTCGCTGCTGCTGCTGGTGTGCCAGGAGCCCGAGCGCTCGCAGCCCGACGTGCACTTCTTCCAAGGCTTGCGACTCGGGGTGAGCGCACGGGTTTGGGTCATCACCGCCGGGCACCCGCGGGGAACGGGGGACCCTGAGGGGCGGGACTGACAGCACGCCCTCATCGGGGCGGGACCTATGAATACGCCTCTGAGGCTGGGCCCGGAAAGATGCTGGAGCGGAAGACTGGGGGGACGGCTTGGACCAAAAATCGAGAGAGAGCCTGCGGGCGCAGAATAGACTTGGGAGGCTAGTGTGGTGTAGGGTTGGTTGTCACCTGTTCAAGGTCTCCCGGGGTATCAGGGACAGTTTAGGGGTGAGATGGGGAGCCCGAGGAGTGAACGCTCATGGGTGCGGGTCGAGGAATTGATCTGAGTGTGATTGGCAGGCGGAGCTGATTCGAGAGGACATTCAAGGTGCTCTGCACAACTACCGCTCCGGACGCGGGGAGCGGAGAGCGGCAGCGCTCAAGTAAGGGACTGGATGGACTGGGATGGGGGAATGGGGTTGGCTTCCCGTTGCGGTGCTTCGTTTTCCCCAGGCGAGAAATGGGCTGCTACCACTGGCAGGGAGGAGAAGACGGGGTTTTGAATATTCGAGGCTTTCTGTCGCTTCCAGACAGCTTTCGCCACCTCTCCAGGAGGCTTCCCTGATGCGGGCTCTTGAGTTCTCCCTCTTGCCTCAGTTTCCGTTAGGAAAATGCTCCTCCGCCCACCTCTCGGGTTTCTGCGCATTTGCCCTGAATCTACAGCTCCCATCCCTTTGGGTCACATTGACCCCGTTCTAAGTCTCGGCCAGACAGGGCCGGGCTTTGCTTCAGGTTCCCCTTCTGGCTCCGCAGGGCCACTCAAGATGAGCTGCAGCGCCGCCCCTCAACCGCCGCCGAGACCCCGCCCCTGCAGCGCCGCCCTTCGGTCCGCGCAGTCATCAGCACCGCGGGGCAGGGCTCAGGGCGCGGGCGACCCCAAGCGGAGCCCATCCCAGAGGCAGAGGAGGCGCGGAGGGCCCCCGCCGAGATTGCTCGCAATGACAATCAGGGCTCGGACCCTGTCTCCCCCGGCCCGCGCGGCCCGGAGCTGGCTGGCCTGCAAGCAGAGAGGGACGTGGTGAGCTGAGCAGGTCTACCTGGTGGGCGTGGTCAGTAACGGGCTGGGGGGGGGGGGCCGCATCCTGGGGCGTGACCTGCTTCTGGGCGTGGTTAGACTGCTGCAGGGGGGCGGGACACGACTGGTGTGGGCGTGTCTAGACCGCTAGAGTGGTCTCTATTGGGGGCGTGATTAGGCCAGTGGGCCGAACTTGGTTCCAGGGCGTGGGTGTAGGCTTGAGGATTTTCAGGCTCCAGAAATGATCAGGGTGCGGAACTAAGGGGTCCCACACACTTCTCTGTCTGTCCTCCAGGATATCCTAAACCACGTGTTCGACGATGTGGAGAACTTCGTGTCCAGGCTGCAGAAGTCTGCGGAGGCAGCCCGCGTGCTGGAGCACCGGGAGCGCGGCCGCAGGACGCGGCGACGCGCAGCCGGAGGTGAGGGGTGTCCCCAGTAGGATCCCGCCTGTCCTCCCTAGGTCGTCCCCGCATAGCCTCCCCCTCTCAGCTGTCTCCCTTAGCGCCCGAGGCGGTTTCCCCGCTGTCCTTCCTGGGGTCCAGAGTGCGGCTATTTCTGGGTATCACCACCTCCTCTCTACCACAGAGGGTCTCCTGACGCTGCGAGCCAAGCCTCCCTCGGAGGCCGAGTACACCGATGTGCTCCAGAAGATTAAGTACGCCTTCAGCCTGTTGGTGAGGACGCGTCAGCGGGGGTGGGTGTCACCTGAGTGCCTGCTCGGGAAGACCAGCACCCCTCACTCCCGGCTCTCCCCGACTGGCAGGCCCGGCTGCGCCGCAACATCTCCAACCCGTCCTCCCCAGAGCTGCTGCACTTCCTGTTCGGACCTCTGCAGATGGTGAGAACCACTACCCAGCTGGGAAGCAATAGGGAAAGCTGGACGCCTAGAGGGTCCGACGGCTGACCCCCTCCTGCTCTTCTGGCAGATCGTGGATACGTCGGGAGGCCCCCAGTTCGCTAGTGGCGTGCGACGGCCCTACCTAACGTCCGAGGCGGTGACGCTGCTGAGGGACAACGTCACCCCACGTGAAAATGCGCTCTGGACCTCCCTAGGGGACTCATGGACCCGCCCAGGGTAAAAAGCTTAGCTGAGGGCAGGGCGTTGTTTGGTGGGCGGGACCAAATCGGGGCGTGGTGATTGGAGGGATAGGTCCGAATGGTAAGGGTGGGAATTGATTGGTGGGCTGGAGCCATAGTATAGTGGGGAGGGTGTTTGCCTGGCACGCCTCCGCCCCGGGTCTGACCCCTGGCACCCCATATGGTCTCCCGAGCCCGCCAGGAGTGATCCCTGAGTACCACCAGCTATAACCAAAAAAAAGAAAGAAAAAAAGATGAGATCGAAAGGTTAGGAGCTGAATTTAATGAAAAGGATTTGGCCATGGGCCAAAGCAATAGTGCGGTGGGTAATTTGCTTGTATTGCACGCGACTGACCCGGGTTCGATCCCTGGCATCACATATGGTCCCTCAAGCACCTTTAGGAGTGATCCCTGAGCTCAGAGCTAGGAGTAAGCCCTGAACATCGCAGTTTCCAGTGTGACCCAAAACCAAAACCATCCCCCCTCCCCCAAAAGAAAAACAAACACAGATTTGAGCTGTTTTGTTGTTGTTTTGCTTTTGTTTTTTCTTTTTGGGTCACACCTGGCGATGCTCAGGGGTTACTCCTGGCTTTGCACTCAGTAATCATTCCTGGCGGTGCTCAGGGGACCATATGGGATGCTGGGAATCGAACTCTGGTTGGTTGCGTGCAAGGCAAACGATCTACCCGCAGTGCTATCGCTCCAGCCCCAAACACAGATTTTAAAAAGAGAGAGAGGACTTGGCCAAAGAAATTGAAGAATGAGTGGGACAAATGCCGGGACGACTGGAGGAAGTACTGGAATAATTAGAGTTCCTTACTCAGGTTGAATGGAGGATAGGGTGCGGCGGGGTCTATACTGAAGGGAGGCTCGGAGAGGCCGGGCCTGTGTGCACTGACTGAGAGCTTCTAGGTAGTGGCGAAGGGTGGAGCCAGAGATTGGATTTAGAGGAAAGGGGAGGAAACCAGGTTTGAAATCCAGGTAAGACTGAGATCAGCGCACTTAGAAAAGTAATTGACAGAGTGGGAGGGACGGGGTGAGGTTAGAATGGTTGGAATAAGGCCTCTTGAGCGCATACTGGATAACTGGGTTGAATTCCCAGCAGTGCCAAAAATAACAGCAGCGGTAGGGGCCAATGTGAAATGAAACGAAGGCCCTGGGTCCCTGAGTCCCTGCCCCCTTGGCCACAGGCTGGAGCTGCCGCAAGAGGATGGACCCGCATACAGACCCGAGTTCTATTGCGGCTGGGAGCCGCCAGCCACTGACCCTCAGGGTCGGCCCTGGGAGGACCCTGTGGAGAAGCAGCTTCTGCACGAGCGGCGGCGCCGACAGGTGAGGCTGAGACTCGGAGGGAGGCAGCCAAGTCCCCAAGGCTCCATGGGACTGTGGGGTCAAAGCTGGAATTTGGGGCCCTGACCCTGACTCATGGTTGCTCTCGCTCTCACCTCTCATAGCAAAGCGCCCACCATGTCGCTGTCAATGGGTGAGTGTCCGCCTGGAGCCAGGAGGTGGGGGCGTGTCCAGGAGGGATGTATCCTGGGGCTCCCAGCGCTCACCCCACCCCTTTCCCCTTCTTTTCCTGTCTTTTCTTCTTCTGCCTCCGGATTCTGCTCTGACCAGGTGGGTGAGGTGGTGAGGAGGTGGACAGGGCCGGAGGTGGGGGAGGAGCAGGGAGGGAGGACTCAGGGAGGAGGGAGCAGGGTTGGGAGTGGGGACCCAGTGGGCTGGAAGGGGACAGTTTACATTCCCAGAGCGGGATCACAGGCTCTGGAGGGAAGGGACTGGGACAGGACATTTGGGCTTGGAAGGAGAGGTCCAGTCTGATGCTTGGGATCTGGTGACCCGGGGTATCAGGCTGGGGAGGATAGGCAGAATTCCTCTTGGAGCAGTGGGTTTGGGAGAAAGCTGGGAAATGACTTAGCCCTGAAAAACAATTCTTCCTGCTACATGTCAGACTGGAACCCCAGGGGACAGGGGTCTGGGAAGGACAGAACTTGGGCTCCTGGTTCATGGTTCCACCATGTGGTTGGGGGCTAGGCGCAGATGTAGGAAGGGGCGAGAGGGACAAGGACTATAGAACCCCCCTCCCCCGTGGGTGAGTAGGGGCAGATGGAGGAATACTGCAGGGACAAAAGAGAAGAAAAGAGGAGGGTGGGTCTGGATGAGGTCCGGGACAGAGGGGTCTCAGCAGGGACAGCATGCAGGAAGCAGCTGGCCCCACACAGGGGGTGCCGCGGTCCTGAAGACCCCCCCTCTCCCTCGCAAAGGTAGGCCTGATCCGGGATGCGGGGGGGCATGGGGGTCCAAGACAAAATTCTGCAAACTTTGCCTGTCCTCTCCCCCTGCTTCTGAACGTTGGCCTGGACATCCCCAACTTTTCGTTGTGTTCTAATATTCCAGTACTCAGTGGAAAAGATGGGTCAAGCAGCCCCTTCCTACAGAGTCTGCCTGACTGGTCTCCTAGAATGCAAAGCCATGGCCAGCCCAGTAGAAGAGACAATGGACTCCTGGGGGCCAGCCAGGGTCTTAGTCCAGTGTTGCCTCTTTATTCTCTGACCTTTAAACTCACATGTCCCTGCGCATTGTGCCGCTTCCACTTCCCCTCCTGCAAAACAGAAAACAGTTTCTGGGGGAGGAAATGGCTGTGGCTGCAGCTCTGCAGAGATTGTCTTGAGACTCAGTCGTTCACCAGGCACACAGCAAGTGCTGGGCGTTCCCCCACCTGTTTCCGCAACGGCCATCTCCTTCCACTGTGTGTTCACAGTCACAGCTCTGCAAACTGCAGCTGTTTCTGAGTCCATGTTTCTGAGCAGAATGTGCTGGTATGTTGAAAGGAACCCAGTGCCCTTAGCAGACTTGGACCAGGCATATGAGGAGCTCTGGATATTTTTCAAATATCTACTAACAGTATTGACCAGCTTTGACCCCAGTTTGGCTCTAACCCAGCTCACACCCAAGCCCCAGAGGCCAGCACCACAGCATGGCCGCCTCCTTATCCTCAGCCCTCCCCTTTCTCCTCAGTCACCAAGACCCTGAGTCAGAGACTGAGCCCGAGCCAGAGGCGGAGCCAGAGACTGTCAGGAAGTGGGTCTTGTGTAATTATGACTTCGAGGCACGCAACAGCAGCGAGCTGTCTGTCAAGCACCGGGATGTGCTAGAGGTTAGAGGGCTGGTCAGGAAGGGGCAGTGGGCTGGAGAGCCCTCAGCCCTGGCGACAGACCAAGGTTCACATATCCCCCCCAGGTCCTGGATGACAAGCGCAAGTGGTGGAAGGTTCGGGACCAGCAGGGCCAGGAGGGATATGTGCCCTATAATATCCTGACACCTCATCCCGGACCCCAGGCAGGCAGCGGCCAAAGCCCTGCCCTCAACCTGGTGAGCTTCGTGGGTCTTGAGGAGAGACTGAGAGTCAGATCCTGGGTTCTGGGAATGAGGAAGCTAGTGTCAGAGTCAAGGGCGGAAGCAGAAGAGCTGGCTGGGGGCACCAGTGGGGGGCCCAGGACTCAGCCCTCTGAGCAGGTGCTTGCTTCCCCCTCCCCACTGTAGGAGAATAGCACGACCCCGCCCCCACCAGCCCTGATGTTGGCTTCGCCATGGGGGAGGTCCCACTGGGACAGCTGTGATAGCCTCAACAGTTTGGACTCCAGCGAAAAGGGTGAGTGATCGGGGCACCCTGTTCCAGAGAAGCACCAGGTGGGAAAACAAGACTCAGAAAGAGCCTAGAGTGCCAGACAGCACATCGGGTAAGGTGTTTGTCTTGCACGCAACCATCCAGGTTCAATCCCTGACACCCCATATGGTTCCCCTGAAACTCGCCGAAAATGATCGCTGAGAGCTGAGCTAGGAATAAGTCCTGAGCGCAGCCAGGTGTGGCCCCAAAACAAGAGAGACTGGGACTCCGCGGGGCGCTGACATCCTTCTCAACCTTTGACACCAAAACGCTTTGCCCTAAATCCGCGCTCGCCCCCCCCCCCTTTCCCTTCTGCAGAGAAATTCTGCCAGATGATCAGTATCAACGAAGAACTGCAAGTGCGTCTGGCCCAGGGTCGCGCGGGCCCCAGCCGCGTTGCTTCGGGGCCCCGCGCGCAGGAGCCGCAGCTCAGCCCGCGCTCGGATGCAGCGGAGGTCCGCGCGTGGCTGCAGGCCAAAGGCTTCAGCTCTGGGTGCGTATGGTAGGGTACCACTCTCTGGCCGACTGCAGGCCAGAAGCGGAGCATTCTGACTGACTCCGAAGTGGGCGGATTGACAGTAGGTCTGACCACGCCCACTCACGCTCCACTCAGGACCGTGGAGTCGCTGGGCGTGCTGACCGGCGCGCAGCTTTTCTCGCTGCAGAAGGAGGAGCTGCGGGCGGTGAGCCCTGAAGAGGGGGCGCGAGTTTACAGCCAGGTCACCGTTCAGCGCGCGTTGCTGGAGGTGAGCCGGAGATGCGCATCCCTGGGACCGACCCGAAGGCGCCCAGGAGCCGGCCGCCAGGGTCCTGATTCCCACCCCTTCCTCCAGGACAAAGAGAACGTGTCCGAGCTGGAAGCGGTGATGGAGAAGCAGAAAAGGAAGGTTGAGAGCGAAATGGAGACAGAGGTTATTTGACCCTCCCCAAACCTCCGTGGGAAACCAGACAAATGCCCCCACCTATGGAGCAGATTCCTGCAAGGATCACCACCTGTTCCGGCCCTGGTCGTGGACAAACGGGGCACTCCATCTGGAGTCACCTAAGCAGATTGATCTGGGGCCAGAAGGGGAGTGGGGCACAGAGACGATTGAGGGAAGGCGCTTGCTGCGCACCCCGACCTTGGGTACCATGATACTCTGTCCAAGTCTACATAAATAGCCCCTTTCCAGCGGACCATGTCAATGGCTGTCTCCTTGCTACCGGCCACTAGAGGGCATAGGACCCTGCCGTTTCCTTCCTTGGCCTGAGAGGAATACAGATGCCCAAAAGTGACCCACCCTCACCATGGCCCTTCCCCTGCTTCATCACACCACCCTCTGAAATGCACATCTTCATCCTCTTCCAAAATCTATCAGTTGATCTGTGTGACTCACTACTGTGTCACCAGGAGGCAGGTCAGGGTCTGGCAAGTAGCGATGGATGGATGGATGGATGGATGGATGGATGGATGGATGGATGGGTGGATGATGGATGGATGGGCTTAAGATATGTGGATGATGGTAATGAGTGGGTGGATGGCAGGTAGATGGATGGATGGGTGCATGAATCCTACAGTGTCTGCAGCTCAGTCCATTGTGCCACTCAGTTTTGCTAAGGTCACACTTTTTTTTTTCCAAAAATGAAGAAAAATTGCAGGGTTTTATATGGAAATGGCCCCAAATCTGAAACTTTTGGTAGCTGACTGGTTTGTTTCTAAAGCACCAAGCTTGAGTAAGAAACCCCTGCTCCCCAGTGAGCGAAGTATGACCCCTGTGACCTCACGGCAGCCCTGACCAGCCGCTGCTGCTCCCATGGCCCTGGCAAGGGGTTGTGGGCTGCTTCCCTGCATACGTGTGGTACAGCTGGCTGACACGTGGCCCCACAGGAGTGGGGACAGAGAGGCTAAGTGGCAACATCACAACTTTTATTGGTGGTGCCTATGCTTTGTCTCGAAAATACCTTCTCCCCCTGCCCTGACGGCAGGTGAGCAGGGGGCAGCAAAAATATAAAGGCACCCCCATATTGCACATGGACCCACACAGGCCCACTGACCGAGGCCGGTGGGACTCTTGGCACATTCTCGGATCCCTGTTCAGGACGGGGAGGGGAATGGTGGCATCACACGTGAGAAGGGCAGCTCCGGGCAGGAGACCACTTGGTCCTGGCTACTGGTCCTGCCTCCAACCTTGGAACCCCCACCTGCCTCCATCCTGGCCTCTGATGGGCCCCCTCGGCTCCTGTGGATTCTTCCCCTTACAGCCCAGGAGGTCCCAAGGGGAGGCTATGGCTTCTCAGAGGTGCCCCAGCCCTGACACTGTGGTCCCGTGGGGGAAGGGTGCTCGTGGCAGAAGCAGCTGTATAAATATGAGTGCGGGAAGCCCCTGTGGGCTCATTTGGAGAGTTTGCTAATGACGCGGATCAGGGCTGCATTCTCATCCTTGAGCCGCTGGTTGTCAGCCCGGAGGTCGGACAGGGCCTGTGGGGTGGGAGGGGGTCAGCAGGGGGTGCAGGGCTCACCCAGCCCATGGCCCATGGCACCATTTCTTCACCTTCAGCTCCTCCTCCAGCTCTGACGCTTTGCGCTCGAGGGCCCTGCGTTCCTGCAAGGATGGGGGGCGGCCCGTCAGCAGAGGCGCAGGGCTGAGAAACGTGGGGAAGGTCAGAGTGTGCAAAGCTGGGACTCAGACGCCCCTCCCAGCTGACCCTACTCACGAATCTCTCCAGCTCCAGAAGGGCCGGCCTCTCTGCAAAGCGTTCCTGCTTCTGTAGGAAAAACAAAGCAGAGGGGTCAGAGGACCCAGGAAAGGACCGAGAAGGACAAGGCAGCATCTCTGAGAACCCACAGGGTGCGACTTTAATATACGCTCCGCCCCCAGCGGCTCAGCCCCTCCCTTCTCGCTCAAGCCCCGCCCCCGATGCTGTAGCTCTGCCCTCACTTGCCAGCGGGCTCACCTGGGTGGCGCGCTCCAGGTCCACTTTGAGCTGGGCCAGCTGCAGCGTGGTCTCGGTCAGGGCCTCACGAAGGCGCTGGTTCTCCACGCGCAGCTCTGCGTACAGCTGAGCACCAGGGAGGGGCGGGAAGGGATGGGGGTCAGGTGGGGCTCAGATGAGGCAGGGAAGGGCAGGTGCGGTGCTGGACCGCTAGCTGATAGCAGGGCAGCGGGGCGGGTCCAGGAGGGCACCAGCGGGGGTGGGACGCGAACCTTCTGGAAGCCTTCGTCATGCTCTTCTGATTGGAGTTCGGTGGGGTGCAAGTCCCGTGGTGTGCGGAAGGAGGGGCCGCCGTCTGTAGCGCTGGGTGGGGGTGAGCAGGGCATCAGGGGTGCGCCCAGCTCGCTCCAGGACACCTCAGCCTTCCTGCCGACCTTACCTGCTTTTTGTGCTGCCTTGGGCCAGCTCCACCTCCTCCCCCTGCCGGTGAAGGCAGTGAAGGTGGAGTCAGCCAGGGCCTAGACTGCCAGGCCACCTGACCCCCACCCCACCCCTACGTTGGGCACCCCCTCACCTCTGCCGGCCCCCTCCAGTCCTTGCCAACTCTGAGAGGCTCCCTGGCAGCAGGTGGCTCCTGGTCCTGACCCTCGAGCACTTCTGTAGGGGAGGAGGAGGAGTCAGTGCAGGCAGTTGCTGGTTGCTGAGGGTCCCACTGCGCGCCCCAGGCCCGCGTCCAGCCCTCACCTCTGCAAGCAGGGCCATCTGACATCTCCTGCCCGGGCACTTGTGGCCGCCGACAGAGATCCTGTGGGCAACCACAGGGGTCAGAGGACCGTGACGTCAGCTATCCCCATTGCGCGTGCCCCAACCGCTCACCCGGCTTGATGTGTTCAGCTCAGCGGCCTGTCCAGCCACTTTCTCGGCTTCCTTCAGGTCGGTCAGCGTGACACCCTGGAAAGAAAGGGTCATCAGGACCAGCCAGCAGGCGGGGGGGGGGGGGGGGGGGGGCCCTGCCCGCACTGCCTCCGCGCCACACCTGGGTAGGCCTCCGGTTCTGGCGCATCAGCCGTGAGCGGGCCTTCCTCTGCGACTCCGACTCCTCATCCCGCACGGGCATCTGGTAGGACCTGCGAGCGCAAGTCCTAAGGTCCAGGGGGTCCCCGTAGAGGGCTGATACCATGCAGGGCAGGGGTGTTGGGAGGCCTGAGGACCCCCAGGTCAGGACGCATTCTCTTAGGGCCCCCCCAAACCTTGGGACTGCTAGGGATGGGGGTTTCTGTTTGGGAGTGCAGTTCCCGCCAGCCCTGCCCCTTCACCTCCAACGATCACGGGAGTCCACTGGGGGTGCAGGGGCGGCCGAAGGGACATTTGGCTTCTCCACTAGGGCTTCAGGTTCTGGAGGACTGGAGGGAGGAGTGGGGTGGTGGGGGCAGTTCTGCAGCCACATGAGAGCAGCCACCAACCCCGCCTCAACCGCCCCAGTCAAAATGCCCTTGCAGGCAGAAATGACCAAAATAAAGATAGACCACCAGAGAAGGTACAGAGTTAAGGCTGCTGGAGAAGGGGACCAAGAGCAAGGCTGCGAAGCAGGAGTGGTCAGAAAGGGCTGCCTGGAGGAGGTGACGTGGAATACAGTCCTGGGAAGAAGGGGTAAGCCAGAGCAAAGATCTGAGCAGGGGCACGTGACAGCAGAGATGCAGGACAGACTTGGGCGAGGGGATGGGGGTCAGATCACGTGGCCTTGAAGGCTTCACTGAACTTTGACCTGACCCATGGAAAGAAGCTATGGCAGGAAGGTGGGTGCCAGGGGACCCTGAGGGCCCAGTGCTGCTACTCACAGGGCAGGAGGCTCCAGCATCTTCTGGGTGAGGCTCGGGGTGATTCTGGCAACACAGGGCTCCCTGGCCTAAAGGAGGAGAGGATGAAGGCAGGTGTCCCTTGCAGAGCCAGGGCGCCCCTCCCGCTGCTCACCTGGGTGGGGGCCCTCTCCAGCCCTGAGGAGGAGGCAGAGCGCTGCAGGCCAGCCCCCGGGGTGTCCACAGAGCCCCGCTGGTCTGAGGGGCCCAGGGTCCCGGTACTTTCTGTCTTCTGGAGGCCAAAGCGCCTGGGGAAGGGATCCTCGGTGGGAAGCTAAGGAGGGGGGTATCAGGGCTGGACCAGGGATGCCGGGGCTGCAGTACCTCCTGCAGGCCTCCTCTGCCCGCCGCCCCTCCCCGTGCTGCTGCCAAGACTCACCACAGGGCTCTGGCGGCTTGTGGGGGGCAGGGAGGACACGCCATTGAGGGTTCTGGACTCTGCGGGGGGTGACCCTATGGGACCTGAAGACAGGATCACAGGAAAGGCCTGGCCCCCAGACCCCAGGGACCTGGCTCCTGCCCCTCCTCCCTCAGACCCACCCTCACCTGTTGGTCCCTCTTCTCCCTCATCCTCATCTCGGATCAGGGCACCCCCAGCACCCTCAGGCCGGCGCTCCTTGGACAGGTCCTGCAGGGAGGTTTTCTCGCGGCTGCTCAGCCTGCACACGGAGCTCCTGGCAGGGCAGGGCGGGTGAAGCTGGGCCATGGCCACAGTACCCCCTCCCTTCCCCCAGGGCGCCCCAACAGCCTCACCTGCAGTGCCTGCTGCTGCTGGGCCCCTGGGGTTCCGGGCTGCGGCTCTGGGAGGCATCCTTGCGCAGCTACAAGGGGACAGAGTGCTGGGGAAGGCAGCCTGGGGATCCCCAGACTGCACCCTGCACAGAGCTAAGCCTCTCTCAGGCATCGGCGTGCAAGGCGAGGCTGTTTCCCTGCAGTCCCACAGCCTGGAGGTCACTCTATTCTTGTGGTCACCCACTGCCCTCCAGGGACCCTACTCCTACACCTGTCCCCACAGTAGGACCCAAGCCAGGGGGATGCCCGCTGCAGCCTAGCCCGGGCCCCCAGTCCTATCCTCCGGGCCCGGCCTAGTGCTGGGGCCACTGAGCCAGAACAGGGACACATTTCCCAGAGGTCACTGCAGAACCCTCACTCCTCCCACTTCCTGACACCACCTTCCAAGAAGTTCCAGGCACTGAGAGTCAGGTACAGTTCTAAAAGCTTCTCTGGCATAATGTGCTGCATCCAGCCTG